GCTACACCAGCCAGGGCCCAGTAATTTTCTTAATGACACCCACTGTCTTATCAAATTTTACAAGCCATAAATGTATGAACAGTCTTTACACTTCCCTCTTCTCTACCCAGTTCTTCATTGTGTTTGTCTAATTCTATTTGTAGTTAACATGTAGTTAACTACATGTAGTTAACATGCCTCCATCTCCCTTTTATTTACCTGGACTACAGTGATAATCTCCCTGATTCCACCTTTGCCTCCATGTACTCTATTCTTTAGATTGTTAGAGTGATGTTTCAAAATACAGACCTAATGATAGTACCTTTTTTCTTAAAAACCATTTCTTAAAAGCCATTTCAATGGCTTCCCGCTGCTCTTAAGATAACAGCCAACATCTCTGATATGTTCAGTATCTTGCAAAATCTTTTACTCATTTATTCCAACCTTATCTTACACCTATCCTTCCTCTGTTTTTGTACTCTGTCTTAGTGGTTCTTCAAAGTTTTGGCATCATAAGACCTAATGTAACTCCCAAAATTATTGAGGACCCTAATAGGCTTTTTTGTTCATGGGAGTTATATCTAACAATACTTAACTGTCTTAGAAATGAAAACAGAATTATTTTAAACCATTAGGTAATTCATTTTAAAATACTCATTATAAACCCATTACATGTTAATACAGTTTTTATAAAAACAGTTCATTCTACAACAAAAAAGATGTTATTGAGAAGAATGGCATTGTTTTACATTATTACAAGTCTCTTTAATGTATGGCTTTATAGAAGACAGCTGTATTGTCACATTTGTTTCTGAATGCAGCTTGTTATGATATATTGTTTTGGTTGACTTGTATGAAATAAGTCCAGCCTTACACCAAAAAATAGTTGGAAAAGGGGGAGTATTTTATAGACTCTTCTTATACTTGTAGGTGTTCTTGGCAAAACTGGGCAAGTGGTAGTTTCTTAAAGATTAAATAACTGTGGCATCTGAAAGCAAATTCATGAGTTTTTCATAGCCTTAAATTAAAATCTATTAATATTTTGGAAAATAGTAATTCGCTGAGTTATGCAGATCTTCCAAATATTGGTACATTACATTATACAATATTAAAAAATAACAATCTTTAATATCACCACTGACCTTGTCAGAAAAGTCATTAAGTATTAGGTTGACTGGCTATTGGGCCCTGGAATAGCTATTATACTATCGATGGTAGTTAAGTTTTGCAAAATTCTAATTTTTTCCTGAAAGCTCAACTTTTATGAAATACTGTCAGTGGTTTTTCTTAAAGTGACAGGCTCACTTTGTTCATTTTTAAGAAAATATCTGCCAAATGTCCAACATGGATAATATAATTGGTCCATCAGTCATCCTTTCAAGAAAAAATATGGCTCATGAAGAAAGTGACTACTTCAGCTTACAACTCAAACTATCTCATGAGGGGTTATCTTTAAGACAACCATCGTACTGTGATATGGCTAGAATTGTTTTATGAATGTTCAGAACATTAAAAAGGTATGTACTCAAGGTTTGAAGTTGAATAAAATTAATGTTTACTCAGACATTTTCAAGTGAAACTGGCCTTTTTAAAACCAAGAGTACATAGTGGAAAGCATACAGTAACTGCTAGTAAGTTTGGTGGCATTGTCCTGAGTGAGCAATTTTACCACCATTACTTTTGCAACATCAGTGCAAATGTAATGACAATGAAAAAAGTAACATTTAAATATTATTTTGAAAATAGTTTTGGCCCTGGCCAGTGTGGCTTAGTTGATTAGGCATCATCCTGCAAACCAAAGGGTCAGTTTTCGATTCCTGGTCAGGGCACATGTCTATGTTGCTGGTATCCCTGGTTGAGGGGTACAAACAAAGAGCAACCAATTGATGTTTCTCTCTCACATCAGTGTTTCTCTCCTGTCTTTCTCCCTCCCTTTCCCTCTCTCTGAAATCAATAATCATGTCTCTGGTGAGAATAATAAAAAAAGAAAAAGAAAATAGTGTGCCTTCTGACTCCAGAGTCCATGCTCTCAACAACTATGCTTTTCTGGAATGTTCCTCTTCAGGGCTTCTGTACATATTGTTTCCTCTACCTGAAGCAGTCAAGTCAGTGTTTTTATTCCTGTTACCTGGAACACTCACCTGAAGCACAGCTGAAGTGAAACTTTTACTTCCTCAGGGAAGCCTCCCCTCATCCCTCTAGATTCCCATTCTTACATTCTTTCATAGCACCACTTGTTTATTTCTTAGTACTTACTACAGGTACAGTTCTATGTGTATTTGTGAATGTTAGCTTAAACTCTCTCCTCACGTAATAGGGACTCTGTGTTTTTTCCAGTACCCAGAACAGAGCCTAGTGGATGGTAGGTATTCTATAGATAACCGTTGAATAAATGGGTAGAAGAGTATAGAGATGAGTGAATAGAATCATTTTGCTGTATGGAATGAGGGACAGATCTAACTTAATTTTTCCTAAATGTGTAATTAGTCATGGCTCCATTTATTAGGAAAACAAATTATCTTTGCTGACTAAAATATCATCTTTATATTGTCCTTAATTCATATATATACTTGACCTTATTTCTGAACTTATATTCTTTGTTTCTGATTCTTTTTTATGCTGCTGAGGTCCTCATTAAGTTCCTTGAGCATCCTTGTAAACAGGATGCTCAAAACAGTGTTTGGAACTCTGCATCTGATAGATTGCTAGCTTATCTCCATTTCATTTAGCTCTTTTTCTGGAGTTTTGATCTGTTCTTTCATTTGGGCTATGTTTCTTTGTCCTCTCATTTTGGCAGCCTCCTATTGTTTGTTTCTATGTAATAGGTAGAGCTGCTTTGACCCTGTGTCTTGGTAGGGTGGCCTAGAAGTAGTAGGTATCCTATAGGGTCCCTTGGTACAGCCTCCCCTATCATCCAAGCTGAGTACTCAAGGTATGCCCTTTGTGTGGGCTGAGTACACCCTCTTGTAGTTAAGCCTTGGTTGCTGTAGGCAGATCAGTGGGAGGGATTTACCCAAGTCAGTGAGCTGCAAGGACTGGCTGTGACCACTGATCGTTAACCTCCACCCTCCATGGAGGATCATCTGTGTGGGGGCAGAGTGGTGGTGCTCTGACGTGGTCTGTAGCTGTCTGCTGGGTACACTGGGCCCTTGGGTTTCCAGTGCCAAGGTCATCCCCCACCTGTGTTTTGTCCAGGGCACCCTGTCAGAGCTGTAAAGCAATCTGAGATGGCTACTACTTGTGCTGGGTTTGGAGATTCCCAGGTGAAACCAAGCTGTGACTCTAATCTGGCTGCTGCTAGGACTCACTGAAGCCAGGTATTGCTTATTTGGTGGGATTTAAGAGCTAAGACTTTTCATGTGGAAAAGTAGCTTGGGTGGGCCCATTAGTTGGGTGGGGTGGATTCTCTGGTGATCTCTGAGGTAGATCAGTGGTAGCTAAGTTGTTGGAATCTTAGATGTGACGTCAATCTGCTGGGGGTAGGGCCTAGAAAAGGGATAATGGCCTCTGGTCAACATGATGCCAGACATCTTAGCCTCCCCCTGCATACTACTGGTGCCTCTCAAGCCACCACTCCATTGCCAGAGCCCAGAGAGAATCTGAGTAGGTGAGTCCATGTCTTGGTTCTTTAAGAGAAACTGCTTAGGGCTCCAGCAGTTTCTTTCACTGACTGAATCTCCATTGGTTTTTGCAGCCAGAAGTTGTGCGGCCTTATCTTTCTGGCACTGGAACCCTGGGCTGAAGGGCCTGGTGTGGTGCTGGGATTCCTCGCTCCCGAGATACCTCTCCTGAATTTTTATCTACCACATGTGGATGTGTGAGCAGCCTGTTCATGTGTGCACCCCTCCTACCAGTCTAGATGGATGTGGTTTCTTTAACTCCATAGTTGTTAGACTTCCATTCAGCTCGATTTCTGACATTCCTGTGTGATAGTTGTTCTACATTTTACTTCTGATTTTGATGTGGTTGTGTGAAGAGGCTAGCTATATCTGCCTATGCTGCCATCTTGACCGAAAGAGCCACTGTTCTGTTTTATTGATCTCTTTGTTCCTTTAAACCACACTCTTTAAATTGTTCTAGCTTTATAGTTTTATATTGAATATAAAAATTCTAATTTATTTATATTAGATACATTTAGAAAAGTCTAGCTTCCATCCCTGCCCTCCTCTGTTCTTCCTCTGTTACTTCCTATATAGGTAACCATTTTTATTAATATGTTTATTTGTGTTGTTGGTTTTAGTAAATATAACCAAATATATCTATATATTTCTATCTCCCCTTTTTTCTCCACACAAAAAGTAGCAGTAAATACACATTAATTTGTAGTTTGCTGGTTTTTTAAATTTAATATATCCTGAAGATAAGAGCAGTATGTAGACATCTTATTTTTTTGAAAGTTACATGGTACTCCATTGTATGTATATACCATTGTTTATTTAATCAGTACTCTAGAGTAGGATATTTGATATGTTACCAGTTTTTGCTTCCCCAGTTTGTGTAGTAATAAATAGTCTTGTGCATATATAATCTCATACATTTACCATTGTGTCTTTGGCAGCTTGTAGGAGATTTTTGACCAGGGGCATAGTATTAAAACATTGTTAGGGAAAATTAAACTGGAAATGGAATGCATAGTTGGATATAAGTAGGATTGGATGACTGAAAATTTATAAGTTATAGCTGTCTTCAATACTATAATGATAACTGCCCGGATATTTATTACTGCAGTGGTATTTTAGTACTCTCATTTCCTGCTCACCCAGTGATAGACTTTTTAGTCTGCATCCTTCCTTCTTTATTTCTGGTCTTTTCTCCCCTCTTGACTCTCCTGGATATGGTCTATTTATTTTCTCTTAATTTCCCTCCATTTATCCCTCTTTGTGAATCCTCTCACAAGTCAAGTCCAATTATCCATTGAAGGCATGCTTTTCACCTTCATTAGCTCTTACCTTATTACACAACTGCCTTTTTGTTGAGCACAGAAATGAAGGAAATAATGTATTTCCTGTTTTTTTTTTCAGAGTTGGAAAGTAGACCTGAGAGTAAAGATTCAACTTCAGTGCAAGATTTTTCCAAAGAAGAATCATGCCAAATTGCAATAATAGACAGACTGACAGGGAATAGTGTCTATGAAACCAACTTGGAAACAACTCTTGAATGTGAAAATTTGTTGGAGAATCAGCAAGGAAATCAGAGGAGACACTTGAAGGAAATGTTTACTTACATGAATTCACTCCCTGAAGAAACAGCTCATGAACATAATATATATTGGAAAAACTTTAGCCAGAAGTCTGTCCTTCTTGCTCAGGACAGAGTTCCAAAAGGAACCTATGCCTTTCATACACTTGAAAAAAGACTGAAACAGAAATCAAACTTAAGGAAGAAGCAGAGAATCTATAAAGAGAAAAAACCTCATAAATGTAATGATTGTGGTGAACTCTTCACTTACCATTCAGTGCTTATTCGACACCAGAGAGTCCATACTGGAGAGAAACCCTATAGCTGCAGTGAATGTGGGAAATCTTTTAGTCACAGAGCTAATTTAACTAAACATCAGAGAACTCATACTAGAATTCTCTTTGAGTGCAGTGAATGCAAGAAAGCCTTCACAGAAAGTTCCTCCCTTGCAATACATCAGAGAATTCACATTGGAGAGAGACCTTATGAATGCAGTGAATGTGGGAAAGGATTTAATCGAAGTACCCATCTGGTGCAGCATCAGTTGATTCATACTGGGGTGAAGCCTTATGAATGTAATGAATGTGATAAAGCTTTCATTCATTCATCAGCACTCATCAAACATCAGAGAACTCATACTGGGGAGAAACCCTATAAATGTAAGGAATGTGGGAAAGCTTTTAGCCATTGCTCATCCCTTACTAAACATCAGAGAGTTCATACTGGAGAAAAGCCATATGAATGTAGTGAATGTGGAAAAACCTTTAGTCAGAGCACACATCTTGTTCAGCATCAAAGAATTCATACTGGAGAGAAACCCTATGAATGTAATGAATGTGGGAAAACCTTCAGCCGGAGTTCAAACTTTGCTAAACATCAAAGAATACATATTGGAAAGAAACCATACAAATGTAGTGAATGTGGAAAAGCTTTTATTCATTCATCAGCTCTTATTCAACATCAGAGAACTCATACTGGAGAGAAACCCTACAGATGTAATGAATGTGGGAAAAGCTTTAAGTGTAGTTCATCCCTCATCAGACATCAAAGAATTCATACAGAAGAGCAACCCTGAAAATTACTAAATGTGAAGAAATGTAAGTTGGTTTTATCACTGTGTTAAATATAGGAGTATATAAGTGACCCTTAAAATGCTGCTTATGGACCAGTTTTGTATGCATCTAATTTTACTTGCATAGTATGTATTTTTGAGCCATAAACAAAATGTTCCTTATATCCATTGATTTGATCATTATGAAAGATACTTTACAGAGATTTCAGGTTTTGATCCCTAACTCTTCCCCAATACCCTTTTGTGAAATTCAAGAAATCCTTAGTAGTGGGTAGCAATGTAATAATTCTGGAATTCATTTTTTTCTCTTTTTTACATTATAGCCCTGTTATAGCTTTTCACTTTGCAAAGAAATTATTATTGGGTAGGTTAGGCAGAGGGTTCATATCCTTATCATAAGAAAGACATAGTTGTTCCTCTTTGAATCCAAAGTAGAAATCTACATTTACAGATACTTTCATTTCTCCAGTGTCATTTCTTTTATATTAGTTATAGAAAGTTAAAGGTTAAAAGGTGAAATATGCTTTGAATTTCCTCTCTCCACAAAGGCTATTCTCTAATTTGATTAACAGAAATAGAATGTATTTACAGCTGGCTGTAAGTTACCTTTACATGGGTTATGCTGGTCATAGAGTTAGATAATTGCTGGGTAGAACTTCATTTTCTACTTGCTTGGAAGTTACCCTGAAGTAGTATGGGTCAGAATCTTAAATACAATTTTTGATCAAGTCCCTCTCTTCTTATCCTTGGCATTCATTGAATGTATCTTTGGTTTTCTATAATTAGAGTATTAAGGAGATTTCATTTCTTTACATTATTCCACTCTCTGTATTCCATGCTTTGTCACTTTGAGGAAAAGTTGCTGGGATGTTGAGGGTCTGAAAAGTTGATGGGTTTAATGTGTTAGCATATTTAGGATCCTAGTCCAGAAAGATAACTGAAGCAACTGTGAGACAGAAAAGGAACCGAAGGAATGAAAGAAATACCTTCCTGTTAGATAGGTTAAATAGTGACTCACTTGACAGTAAGCAGCTTCTCTCTATAAAGAAGTTGTCATTTTCTGACTTTCATGTATACCCACATTTTTTGTTCTTGTTCTCTCTGTATGTTGGTTAGTCTTTGCTATATCCCAGAGCCATAAAGAAGATTGAAAAGGCATGAAACCACATGATATATTGACATACTTACTTGGTTGACGAAAGACCAGTAATGTGATTGGGAACACAAAAGCAAAAGTTCAGATAAATATTTAGCAAAACACTATACAAAAATTAGGATTTTTTGCTGTTGTTATTCTATTAATACATATTATGTGAAAAGATTATAGAAAAAGTAGGAAACAGTAGTTATAGATTTCTTCTTCTAATTCTACCTTTTATGAACATTCAGCACCAGTCCATGTTTTGCTCCCTTCTTGTTATTCCTGTGACTTATAATTCCTTTTCGTATACTTTAGTTCTATTATTGAAGAAAAGTAGAATAACATTTTAAAAAGGGGTGGTAGTGGACAGCAAGATCATTAAGGATGGATGGAGTATAAATCCAGCAATGGTTGAAATCCAACAATATGAAAGAAATGGGACTGAAAGGACTTGGAAAAGTTTTATAAAGAATTTTTAAAAACACATTGAAAGGGGTGGAGGTGGTTGGAAGGCTCAAGGTCTGAGAGGTCAGAATAGGAAGATGGCTGATAAACAAAATAAAGGAAAGGGAGCTCAACCCTTTTTATCACCTTAATCAATAATGGTCTAAAAAAGGAATTGACAAACTGGTCTAGACCTGCAGACCAAGTATGTCTACTGCTATTTCTATAAGTAATGATTAATTGGAGTTCAGCCATGCTCATTCATTTAGATGTTGTTTGGCTGTTTTATACTATAATGGCAGAGTTAAATAGTTGCAGCAGAGAGTATATATATGTCCTGAAAAGCCTAAGGTATTTGCTATTTCTTAATGTGCCAAATGCTTGAGTGACAGTAAATGCATCATTTGGGAGCCAAAATTTGACTAATAAAATAACATCAGCATGGAGGGGAGGGGGCGGAGGCAACGGGGAAAAAAAAAAATAACATCAGCATGGGCTTTTCAACACTGGGTTTTAATACTGCCACCTCTGTTTAGCAATTCTGTCACCTGGGAAGGCTACTTATTTTCTGAGCCTCACTTTTTTACCTGCAAAATGGGAATAAATCATCACTCATAAGGTTATTGTGAAGACTAAATATGACAATGCAAGTAAAGGACATAGTACGCAATAAATTATATAGAGTCTCTTCCCTTTCCCCTCCCTCTCCCTCCCTTTCTCTTTCTTTATGTATACACATATTTTAATGAAGTGTTATCTTAGTTCATTTGGGCTGCTATAACAAAATATCTTAGACTGAGTGGCTTACACATAACATTTAACATCACAGTTCTGGAGAGTAGGGAGTCTAAGATCAAGGCCCCAGCAGATTTATTGTCTGATGAGGGGATTCATGTTTCCCCTCAAAGGCAGCTATCTTTTCACTGTATACTCACATTCTGAAAGGGCAAGAGAGCTTTGTGGCTTCTTTTATGAGGTTACTGACCCTGTTCATGAGAGTTTGGCTATCATGACCTAATCACCTTTTAAAGGCCCCACCCCCTACTACCATCACATTGGAATCAAGTTTCAACCTGAATTTTGGGAGAACACAAACATTCTTGTAATCTAATTGCAGTTTAAGTGGTGTTAAAGGATTTGCTCTGTTAGTTTTACTGAGAACTCTGGCCCTTTACATTTCAGTATTTGTTCTTTTTATACCTGGTGTTAAATCTATGGGTTTGTATGTTGACAGGAATCCTGGAGGTTTTAGCAGTCTGCTTTTCAAATGTTTTTGGTTACCTATAAACCAAATTTGACTGTTCTTATTGGCCCACTGTCAATAAAGATGTTTATATATTTCTTGTCAGAAACTTTTGTAAATTGCTCTCATATCATTCAGGAAACCAGTCACATTTCTAATTATTCATCTGGGCTTCACAACTTCTTGAGACATAGCTTGGGGAATACCCTCCACAACCCATGTATCTGTGAGAAGGTTAAAGAGTAGAGGAAGGATATTTCTATGAAAGAGTCCTTGGGCCAAGTACAGGCACCACTCACTTAGGGGAAAAAAGGAGGGAAGAATGGACTTCATATAAAACATACAGGCAAGATAGGTAGGCAAGATAGGGTAAAAAACTGATTTAGTGTGAATTTTAAATTACATCTGGCCTTCAGGAGGACAACATAATATCACTGAAAAATACAAAGTGGTAACATAAGAATACCAAACATTCAGATTATTGGCAATTAACTAATTCAATTATCTATTAAAAATCTCATCATTGTTTTATTTTCTCAGATGAGTTTTAACTTTTTAAAAAAATATGTTACAACAGGACTCTGGTTGGAAGCTCTTTGTCCCTGCTTTCTCCCTTTCCTTACCCAATTCTTTTCTAGACCTCACCGCGGCAGTCTTGGAATCCAAAGCCAAATGAGCTGTCCCTCACCATAGGTATTATTGGCAAGGAAGAAGTTGTGTTCTTCTGTGGTAATATGTATAATGTGACACCTATGGATTACCTTGTACTTCTAATTAATGTCATCAGAAAATTACATATTTTCACTGAATTGTTCTTTACATTTTTCACACTGTAACCTGTTATTTTTTAACCTATATTCATCCCTAAACCAGATAATTTGTCTTTAGATTGAGTTGACTATACATAAAATGTACAGTCCATTTACCTGTAAACAATCATCATGTCAGAAAATTCACCTATCTGAGAAACCTAAGGGGTGAAACCTGACACTCAGACATTGCTAGATCAAGGACTGGTTACCTCCATATTAGCTATATTTTCATCAGTCTCCTCCAGTGATGTTAAATCCCTCCACTGGCAGTTGCAAGCTAGTATGGTTCTTAACATTTACAATCTCAAGAATACTTCTTTGTAAATAGTTCCAGCAAAATCTCTTAAGACTACTTCCCAACTTTGCTTGAGTAATGCTGATCATTGAACTGTTTACTGCCTTGAATTGGGGTCCTCAATGACCAGGCCCGACTCCATGTAAAACCCTGGGGTAGGGGAGGCTAAAGTCTGCCCCTAAAAGAAATCCAGAGTTGCTGGGTTAAATAAAATAATCATGTCAACTGTAGTTGATTGGCAAACTTCAGCATAAATAAAAATATCCAATCTCCTCTCCATATTATTCAAAAAAAAAAAAGAAGAAGAAGAAACTTTTCCAAAAATCAGCAACAAACTGATAGAAGGCCAAAATCTAAGAAAATCTTCACAACATTGACACAACAGGGTCTCTGTGGAGATTACAAGAGATAACATGAAAATGCTTTGTAAAGCATGTTGCAGAGTTATAATAATTTTCAATTGTTCAGTGTCATGCCTCTGGTATTGTATAATATATGTACAAAAAGTATATACCTCTCACCAGAGTGCCAATTCTTAACACTAACTTATGCTACCTGTCCAGTGTGGGTCAGCAAGGAGTCTTTGCTCAGTAGTTATATTCCCAGTGTGATACAGAGCAGCCACTGTCTTAAACATTACTTTTGCCAAAGCAAAGCCATGATTATTACATGTATAGTTGACTCAATTCCCGATCTTATGATTCATGAATCCCATGTTGTAGTAACTTAACTGGTCTATCCAGGACACTTAGTTTGTGAAAACCCATTTCAGGCAAGCTTAAACAAAAAGGTTACCATGATTAAGTTTCAGATATGACTGCATTTAGATGTTCAAAAGATGTCGTAAGATCCTTCTCTTGCTAGCTTGACTCTTTTCCTCCAAATTGGTTTTATTTTCAGGCAGGCATAATGGCAGAGATAGTCACTGGCAGCTTTGACTTGAGATGCTGACAATTGTTGATTCCAGAGTAAAGAGTATTTCATCGTCCATAGTGCTATTGAGAGTTGCAAGATGGATTCTGATTAAATGACTTGCACCCCATACCATCCTTAAGCCAGTACTATGGCCAAGGGAATTGGGTACTCTGAGAAGGGTAGAAAAGAAGGGGTGAAGAGAAAATGTGCTGAACAGGAAAAAAAAAAAAAAACCTGAGAATTTATGCCTACCCAGTCAAGGGATGGAGACTGTACTTACTAAGATCTTACAGAATGAAGGCATGCCTTCTATAGACCTGGAAAACAGTAGAGCAAGAAAACATAATGTGAACATGAGTTACTTATTCAGCCATCTTCAGAAGTTGTAGTTTCTCTCACATTTATATCAACCCAAAAGGGTAATAATAACTTTGCTCTTCATTCCCAGGGATCTCATTTCAAAGTTTCGTGTGCACATGAACATAAACATTGAAACAAGATCTGTCAAGCCCCCCAGAAAAGGACAAATTTGAGTGGATGGTAGTTCCTCTGTTAGTTTCTAAGTCCTTAATTTCCATCTCCTTTACATTTAGAGCCAGGTATATGTAGCAATTCAGTTTCAGTCCCATTCTGTTATCTGTAGTAGACATAAGTGAAAATAGGAGAGGGAAATCTTCTGAAGTCTACCTAATGGTGGGGGAGTTTGGCCACAGCAGTGCCCAGATATCCTGAAGTAGTAGGAGTCCTAAGAGGAGATAAACATGTGAGAGAGAAGGTGGTATATGAATTTTTTCCCCTGTAGTAAGATTAGAGAAAGATTATGAAGTTAGCAAAATACCACAATGTCATCTGCCTTGGCCTTCTCACTGAACAATTCTTCATGCTTGTTTGTATGACCTGTTTGTTGTGGATTGGCAGAAAGGTTCTCATTGTCATAGTCACTCAGGGACTCAAACTGGTGAAGCAGCACCATCTCAAATATTGCTTCCACCATGCTAAAAGGAAAGGAAGGATCTAGAGTGTCACCTTACACAATTCACTTAACAATTTTATGCACCAAAACAAGTCACAGGCACCCATCCATCTCTTTATTAGATGCTGGTCATATAGGCACCTTCTCTCTAAAATGTACCCAAACTGCAGAATTCCAGAAGGAAAGCAGGTGTTTAGCAAAAACTACATTGTTTGTACAAAACAGTTTAGGCACAATGACCACTCTGTTAGTTCTGGGAATAGGAAACATCCAAAGTCAAAGTTCTTAGATGCCATGTTCAACCTCATCAGCAGGCCTTTCTAAAAAGCAATCATAGGCTTGCTGTCTTAATTCTTTCATGCACAATTTTTTGCCATTACTGTTACAAAATAGTCTCAGCGATTCATATTAATCACAACACTTTGCTAACCAAAATAGTTAACATATGTGATTGAGAACTCATACACAAGCCATTTAGAAGATGAGCAAAGATCACGGATGCATGATATATCAGTCAGACATCCCTTTTACATTTAACGTGGCAGAAGAGAACACGTGAATTTGTAGGTATGCATGTATATGCACACTTGTTTTACCTAGCTCTATCTACAGAAAGGGGCTAGAATCAAATGCTTCAGTTGCAATAAGCTGAGATCTTGATTTCTGATACCATTCTCCACTAAAAGGAACCAGGGTTCCTCAGAGAAGTGACTGATTCCAGGTAACTGCAGTTGCAGTAAAAGCCTAAAACATCTCGTTCCAGAAAATAAGATAGTACTCAAAAAATTATTAGAGTAGGTAACAAAGGCAAAGGAACCAGCTTGAAGTAGACCTCACTAACCAAAACTAGAACAATTTGAGCACCAAAACAAGGCAGTAATGAATTATTAAAACATTGAAAAAAAGTACGTGAGTTCACACTGATAATTAGAAGAAAATAAGGAAGAATAGAAGGATGCAAACTGGTAAAAATTATCATTTTCTGGTCATCACGGTGAAGATTCTGGCAAGAATCATCCATGGATGATAAACCTAAAGGGAAATTTTGATGAGAAATGGGGTATGTGCATAGTATTAAGGTATCTTCATAGATTGCTTGTTACAATTGGCAGTCGTCAGGAAAAAATATGTAATAATTTTAAAATAATAATGTTATATAGGAAACACCTTGATTGCATGATCAAACTTAACATAATGAACAAGGGGCAGGTGGCCATTGCGTGCCTCAGATTTGGCCTCATGAGAAAGACACAACATAATGTGATATTAGGGAGTGCATAACTAGAATGAAGCCACTAGGAAATACTCAACAAACCCCAAAATGAAAGGACTGCATTCTTCAAAAGTATTAATGTCATGATGTTCTGGCAGTGGCTGATGAGCAAGGTAGCTGTGGGCCCAGGGACCCACATCTCTCTCTGCCACTGCTGCTTAAGGGCAGTGGCAGCAATTTGAGAAGTTGCAGGAAACTTTCCATACCTCCATGCAGACGTATGAGGAATGCCAGAGCAGCTCACAGGGACTGGAGGGACAAAAGAGAACAAGAAATTGATCATAGATTTTTATGAAAAGTAACCAGAAGCAAATGAAATGCTGGTAGAGATGGAAGAAGAACTACTTACGCACCCTATCTTTCTGTAGCCCTATAATGTCTAAGCTTTGAACCTACCAGAAGGACCTTGCCAAATGCCACTGGAATGTGAGAAGCACACCTTTGACAGCAACACCTGGAGAATTCTGACATGTACACTGTAGAGAACGAACATATGACTCAGCTACTGTATCAAAGGGTGTTGCCTTTGCAAGACACTGACAGCCTGAACCAGGCCACCCAGAGTACTTAGCATTCTAATTGGATGGCCACAGAGGCTGGCCAGATTGGCTCAAATCATAGAAGAGCTAAGGGAGCAACATGACCAGTTGGAACATACCAAGAATAGACTAGTAAATGTTACATGTGAAAACTTGGTCAAAAGTCAGAAAGTTCTTCAGTCAATGTCCATAAAGGTGACAACCAAAAGCTGCTACTTTCCATTGTCATCTTACTGGAGCTAGCTGTTTTGGCAGGCATGCTTTATAACAGGTTCTTCCACAAGTATTGCACTTCTTGCAGGGAAGGGTTTATGGACTAGAACATCAACTGTGTGAATGAATGGTGTTACAAATGTGGAATAAGCATATTGTTGCTGTGAGCTGATGGTTCAAGGATGCACTGTGTAGCCAGACTGTGGGAAGAAGGAGGGCAGACAGAATACCAGTTAAATGTGAAGGAACGACAACAAGACCAGTGTGGTACGCCAAGGTAATAAATGCTGTTTATGACTTTTTTTAATTAAAAAAAAAGTAATGTCTTAAAAGACAGACTGTATACCTGTCCCACATGAAAAGAGAATAAAGAGATAAGAACTGAATACAAATATGATCCTTGACTGAATCCTATATGAGAAGGAAAATACTATAAAGGTTAATACTGATTTAGTTCTTTAAAATTGTAACACAAGAAGTAGAGTGGATAAAAGTTTTGCATCAATGTTAAATTCACTGAAGTTCATAACTCATGGTTATGTAAAATAATATTATTGAGAAATGCACATTGAAGTATTTAGGGGTATAAATGTATAATATATGCAATTTTTTCTCAAAAGATCAAGAAAATATATGTGTATATATAGAAAGAACAAATGGCAAAACAATAAAATGCTAACAAATGAATCTAATGGGAACATGGATATCTATCAATATACATATTCTGTAAGTTTCAGGTTATTTTCAAATAAAACAGTTTTAAGGAAACAGATACATTAATATGATCCCAAGTTAGACCCATTCTATAACATGTAAAAATGAGAGGCAAAGATATACATAATACAAACATGTTAAGTAACTCCTTTTTTTTCCAGTTTACCTAAAACCTATTCAAGTATCCAAAGCGTATCCATTAAGGAAAAAAAAGTTTTTGCCCCAGAGCATTGTCCTAATATGCCAAGTAGCAGGTTCTATCCCTAGTCAGGGTACATACAAGAAACAACTAATGAATGCATAAATAAGTGGACCAACAAATCAATCTCAATTTCCTCCCCTTCCTCTCCCTCTAAAATCATTTAAGAAGAAAGAAACTTTTTTAAAAGGGAGAAGATATTTTCACATTTAACTGAAAAAATACAAGAATTTATATCAAGAATTTATTTTTTATTCTCAAAATCATTTAGAAAGATTAACAGCACAGTAGGAAATGCAAAATAAAATTAACCAACCCTTAAAAACAGTATATAGAAATTTTAATAAACACATGTAACTGTGTGCTCAGGCATTTTAATAATTAAAATATCAAAATAAATAAAGATGAAATACCATCATGTATTAACCAGAATAGTTAAAATGAGAAAGTAATGATTACTCTATCCAGCAAAATTGTCATTTAAAATTGAAAGCAAAAACACAACACAAAACAAAAAGAGTGTGTCTGACAAAACAAAGTAAATAAAAAAAAACAAGGAGTTCATTACCACCAAACCAACATTGTGAGAAATGTTAAAGGAGATGCTGTAAGATGAAGAAGAAATAGAGAGGAGCATAGGCATAAAGAATAAAAATGGCTATAAATAAGTGCCTATTAATAATAACCTTAAATGCAAATGTATGAAGTGTTCCGATCAAAAGACATAGGACAGCAGAATGGATTAGAAAACATGACCCATGCCCCAGCCATTGTAGCTTGGTTGGGCATCATCCCACAGACCAAAAGTTCACTAGTTTGATTCCAGTCAGGGCACAATGACTGGGTTACAGTGTGGTCACTGGTCAGGGTGCCTAGAGAAGGCAACCAATCAATGTTCCCCTCTCACATCAATGTTTTTCTCTCTCCCTTTCTCTTTCTCTAAAATAAGAAATAGGAATTTTTAAAAATGACCCATATGTATGCTATCTACAAGAGACCCACCTCAGAACAAAAGATTAACACAGGCTACAAGTGGAGGAATGGAAAAAAAATTCTTGCAAATGAAAAAAAGTAGCAATACTTATATCTGACAAAATAGACATCAAAATGAAGGCCATGGCAAGAGACAAGTAAGGTCACTACGTAATTCTAAAGGGATTGATCCAACTAGAGGATATAACCCTGGTATATATGCACCCAATATTGGAGCACTGGATTGGAAAAGCTAACATCATCAAAATGTCCATATTACCCAAAAGCCATTTATAGATTCAATGCTATACTTTATTGAAGTACCAATGGTATATTTCACAGATATGGAAGAAACATTTCAAAACTTTATAGGAACCATAAACAACCCTGAATAGCTGCTGC